CGGGTTTAGAGTGCACTACTGGGATTTTAACCCGGCTAGTATCTTCTGCTAGTTAGCTATAAGCATTAAATAATTATGTAAACTGGTAAATAACAGATCAGAGATTAAAATAATAGCAAAAGTGTCTCAATTAAAATAAACATTAAAAACTGAGAAGTAACTCCAGTTTACTTTTGCTATGGTTAAATGTTTAGTGATATCTTCCAAAGATTTTTTGCATTTTGACGCAATTTTTTTGCAATTTTTCTCTATATAGTGTTGATATGGCATCTATCCATCCATCAATTTTTCACACCGCTTTATCCTCTGCAGGGTTGCAGGGGGCTGGAGCCTATCCCAGCATCTCGGGCCACAGGCGGGGGACTACCTGAATGGATGTTAATATGGCACTGTAACAGAACTGTGTGAGATTACTATGAACTAAGATGAACATGTTTTTAAGTCCTGCCAGTTTAAACATTCATGGTTTTTAAACCATTCAAGAGCAATAAGCAGCAAGAGTACTCAGTTCAACACTTGCACACTTTCTGAGAGACGGTTTAGTGTAAGCAACATGCACCCAAACACGCACACATAAAGCAGCTTCTCAGACAGTGTGCGAGTAATTGAATTCTTTTTCACGGCTTATTGTGTAAAAGTTCTGATTAGGGATGCACCGATACCGATACTGGTATCGGTATGGGGCCCAAAACTGAGCTCTTGTAGCCTACTCGTACTGGTACTCATTAAAATGCCCTGATACCAAACGCAGATACCACACAGCATGTGATAAGTGCCATATTCAGACAAAAAAAACACACACAAAAGAACAACAGACAGCAGAATGGAGTTATTAGAGATTAAGGATGTCTACTAAGTATATGTATGCAATGAATATAATGTTAAACATTCAGTATTAAGGCCTGTATAGCTGATGTGCGCGAGCTGATAAGCAAAGCACGCTTGAGTGGATTGTGCGCTCGGCGGCGCAGATGCGCGAGCTTGTCGAGTGAATATGCCTTTCTCACAGACATCACTGGAAAGCTTGTAGTTCGGTCGGATGTGTCAAAAACAAGTAAGTAAAACAATGCACAAGTTACTTAACAGTAGGGAGAGAGAGAGAGATAGAGAGCGAGCGCGCGCACTTCTGTTGTTTTATCTTTGATGTTCACTCACTTAGCACACGCATCATTTTGAATAAAACTAAATCGTAAAAATAAGACCATTTATAGGGGCATTCACTATAAACATCATTTTTTTTCAACCTTAGGCATACACGACTTTCTGGCGAAAGTGAATCTAGCAACCTGTGTGAAATGCGCTGGGCTGTAGCCTACTACTTGTCCCTCATTCTGCACCAGTACAAATATGTGCACGCATTGCGCGTTTTGCTTGCTTGAGTGTTTGTGGATTACAGTTAGGAGATTTATAACGAGTGGTTCCCCGTACAGTGGACTACCAGTAAAACTGATACAAATTTGGGACCAAAATTATTCAGACCGAGTCTGGGGAAAAAATTTGGAGGTCTTGGCGAGTATTCACGTAATCACAGTCAGTTATATCTTCAGTGAACGTAAACAAATGAGAAAGAAAACACATTAGATCCGTGCAGTTGGTCTGAAAGAGGCAGCAGTCTGTTAAACTGATTGCTGTGTTATTAATGTTAATCAAACAACAAAAGACACTCACTGCACTTGACTGACTTTTGTAACTTTAATTGTAAGGTTTCATCTGTATTCATTTATACAGTGAAGACTATCCAGTGTTATTTTGCATTTGATTACTAAATTCAAATTCTGTAGACTAAATTAGATTGTATTTCGAAATTTGAAGCAAAAACAGAATGGTTTGACTTCAGTTTTGTGAAACTATACATAAAAAAATATCTGCATGAAAGCTGAGCTGAATGAGACGCAGATTCACTCTCTGCCAGCAGGTGGCGCTTAAAACGTTTCCTTGCTTTCCGCTGTAAACAAAGAACTGCTGCACATATGAACTTTAATAAGCATTACACAGAGGCAAGAGGAAACGAAAATAATACCATCTAAACTTTTCTAAAGACAGTAAGTTCCCCTCAGTTTATTCTTATAAACTCCTACACCTAAATTAATCGCGATTGGTTTAGCATCTCAACCGATTTGAATCCTCATATATTTGAATCGATTTCCAACCGGCTCGCGGTTAATCGTTACATCCCTATGGTCTTACATCCTCTATCCACTGTAATGCTAACAGTACTTTAAGCACAGTATTTTAAGCATCTCTCCTGTGTAAACTCATAATATCGAATCACCTTACAGGGAAAACATCCACTTAAAGAATGAAAAAAAAGGACATCCATGAGTTGTGCTGTAAAAGCGCAAACAGAAAGAGTAACTGTGCGTTCACACCGCCGCCGTCGTGAGCGTCAAAGATCGCTCTGGCCGCCCTGCCAACAACGCTGTAGAAAGATTCGTGGACGCTCTGACGTAGATCGAATGCTTATCTTGTATTTAAAGGGGACGCAAAGCAAACACGCTTGTTGATCTTGTGCAGACTGACCACAAGGAGGGTAACATTATAAGTTAACCTCATTAAATATTGTTGTGGACGAAGTATTAAGATCCTTTACCTCATAATGTATAAAGCACTAATACCACACTGTAAAAATACTCTGATACAAGTAAAAGTCCTGCATTGAAAATGTTACTTAAGTAAGTATAATCAGGTATAAACATTACTTAATGTAAGTATAATCAGGTATAAACATTACTTAATGTAAGTATAATCAGGTATAAACATTACTTAATGTAAGTATAATCAGGTATAAACATTACTTAATGTAAGTATAATCAGGAAAATTGATTTAAAGGTTTAAAAGTGAACTGGGACTATTATACTATTATTTATTATGTCATTAGATTATTATTACTATAACGTTGCACATCAGCAACTCACCAGGAGCACCAACAATCTCAGACACCTTGGTCCATACATCATTTTTTTTATTTATGTCCCTGTATGCAAACAGGGACATGTCGTAGATTATTGGGAAACCCGCCACAGCAATAATCAACCTCTCCTCCATTTTGCTTGGGAACTAATGTGGTCGGAACCAAAGTTTACAGGACTGCGTTCTCTGGAATCCTCTCAAGCGGTGGACTTCTACGTTCCGATTGGTTGCCGCCAGATGCCGCCGAACCGCGTCATAGCTCATTACCATAAAGTTGACCTGATTTCAACTCTCCTCGACGCCCTCAACGTCCAAATCGCGCCGCTATATTGTATAAAGTGCTAAATACATGTCCGGGAAACTCATGAATATTCATGTATGCCCCGCCCACTGAAACAGAAAATCTCGGAAACCGAAAATCTCGTAACACCGGTGTAGTGCCGAAATTTGCACCCTGCCATATTATGCGCCCCCTAGTATTGGTAGGTTTAGGTTTAGGTGTGGGGGAGGGGTTAGGATTAGGGGTGGGGTTGGGATTAGGCAATCAG